CCCCCCCCCCCCCAAAAAAAATAGCCCCTAAAACAGACGTAGAACATAAGAGCCATGATGCAGGATATCTTCCTGGTTTTTACATTTATGTTTCTTTTTCTTTTTCTGTGTCTGTCTCTCTATCGGTTCTCGGAAGCTTTAAGCCGCTGTTTCTGTGTCTAGTTTCGCTTTTTAACAAGGCTTAATCAGAAGGAGGAAGAGAAAAGGAGAGCCTTTCAGCTGTCATCAGATTTCCGGCCACCTCTTGTTTGCTACGCTGACTCATTACCGCTCGGACGATGAGGCGTCAGTGTTAGGGGAGAAAAGTGGGCCTAGTAACGAACCCAACTACAGCTGCAGCAGCTGCAGAAGCAGCAGCAGCAGCAGTGGCAGCAGAAGAAGAAAAAGAAGAAGAAGAAGAAGTAACAGCAGCAGTAGCAGTAGCAGTAGCAGAAGAAGAAGTAGTAACAACAGCAGTAGCAGCTGCAGAAGAAGAAGAAGAAGAAGAAGAAGAAGAAGAAGAAGAAGAAGAAGAAGAAGGGGAAGAGGAAGAAGAGGAAGAAGAGGAAGAAGAAAAAGCAGTAGCATTAGCAGAAGTAGAAGAAGAAGAAGCAGCAGTAATAGCAGCAGTAGCAGTAGCAGCAGCAGAAACCGTAGTAGGAAGAGTATGTCAACTTCATTAGAGTACGGTGACTGTGGCAAAAGCATGGTAGATGTCCACGCCACAGAAGCGATGATGATGATTCCCACCCCGTCGACGACAACGACAAGAACAACAATGACAAAAAACAGCAGCAGCAACAGTAAAAAACAAAATTACAGAAACAACAACGGCAAAATCAACAGCACAACCACCACCTCCAACAATAACAACAGTAACACAAAATCAACAACGGCAAGGTCAGAAATAATGCAATGGTGAATAAGTTCTTCCTTCTCGTTTTCCACTTCGCGGTGACATCTGTCAGTGGTAGCACTTTTTGATTGTGCTACGTTGAGTCATACTGTACGCCATTAGACCAAAGATACTACACCCTACGGTTGATTAGACTCATTTAGTGGGTGGTTGGAGGGTGCTCTGGTGTGGCTTGCTTCTTCTTTTCTATCAAACTTATGGTGCCTCTATCATTGATGGTCAGGTCTATCAAACTTCTATCGTCCTTATCTCTCCTTCGTCTTTTTCGTGTTTGTTACTCTCTTGTAACACCTCTAATCTTCGGCACTTATATGACCTTATTGTGCTACAAGTGCTGTAAAACAGTTACTAATACTAAAACAAAACTCATTTATAAAGCAGAGAACGTGATGACGTGTGAGATAATCGATTTGGGAGGAAACCCAGGATGGAAAAAACCCAAAAACAAAACAAAACAAAATTTAAAAAAACAACAATATTATTATTATTTCAGATACATCTCAGATTTGAACCTCCAACTTTCGCCCAGCAGGCCAAATCAACAACCCACGTTGCCATCCACAGCAGTGAGTCAGAAATCATATAAAATTAATATGACAATGAATGGCAAATGAGGTAGAGCAACAGATAATTCAGCGTACTCCCAGCTTATGGATTAATTATTAATTAATTGTTTCCGTAAAGACTAGTTCGAACAATTTATATTTGATAACTCTTTAACCTAAATGCCAGAACGGATATTTCGCGCGGCGCATTTAGTTTTGAGAATATAGATCTAGACCTTCTATTTTTTGCATCTTTCAAGATTTATTGCCCCATTCCAGTAGAGTGTAAATATAGTGGGTCGATGACGTTCAGCTGATGTTAATGCACCGATCAATCCTTTCATTGAAAGGGGTCCCAGCTAGTTTAATAATATCTGCCTTCCAGCTGAGGTGTGTCCCTTGAAGCCTGAGGTGGCCCCTGACGAACTAGGTCAAATAGAGGCAAATAAAAATTCAGCACAAAATTTAAAAAAATAAATCATCATCATCATCCAGTGCCAGATCTGCGACGGACATCGGCGATCATGGTTCTCCATTCATTCCTTTGCTCAGATGCTCTAAAAAAAGCTACGTTTCCCTGATCTTTTCCTGTTACCCATTTGTTTAAGTACCCTAAGTATGTTGTTCTGGGCCTACCCCTGCCTCGCTTGCCCTCAATTTTGCCAGTGAGAGCTAGATGTTCAAGACCCTTATGTCTATTCAGGTGTCCCAAAAACTACATTTGTCGTTTCCTGATTGTTTTTGACATTGAGCGTCCCACGTGGGCTTCATCAAGCACTGCCTCAAATGATTTCTTTTCCTTCCACGATACTCTTAGCAGTCTCCTTAGAAACCACATTTCTGTTGCTTCTATTTTATTTTCACTGTCTTTAGTGATTGTCCAGCATTCACAGCCACATAGAAGAGTTGACTAAACAGCATTTCAGGACTTTTATTTTGGTGTTCATTGATATGTTTCTGTTTTTCAGGATTGGGCTCATTTTACTGAAACTAGCCTTAGCCATTGTAGTTGTCCTCTTTATTTCTGTGGAAAATTTGGCATCAGATGTTATCATATATCCTAGATATTTAAACTGTTGGACTTGTTTGATCTTTTCACTTTTGCTAATGAGATTACTTCTAGGATTTGCTGCTTTTTTGGATATTACCATGCATTCTGTTTTCTTTACATTCAACAATAATCCTTTACGTTCACTTTCTGTTACAACAGTATCTAGAAGCAATTGAAGGTCCTTTTCGGAGCCTACTATTAAATAAATAAATAAATAAATAAATAAAATACGATAAAATAAAATTTAATTAAATTTAATTAAATTTGTAAAAAGAACAAAATAAATAAAATAAATCATCAAATCAAAGAGCAGTACAAAGCAACAAAAAAAAAACAAACTAAAAAAAAACAAAAGCACCAAAACACAAACGAAACAAGAAAACACAAAGAAAAAAACGGACTGAGAAAAACGGACAATGAAAAACGGACAGAAAAACGGACTCCGAAAACGGACTGAGAAAAACGGACTGAGAAAAATGGACTCACCCAGACATACAGCGTGGGAGCGGACAAGACCACAGCCACGGCCCACACACACGGCAACATCTTCTTGGTGTTCTCTCCTGTGTACCAAGACCTGGCCTTCATTGGGTGGACGATCACGATATACCTGAGGACGAGCAGGAAATGATTGTATTTATTCAACCTAATCGAGAGGACAATCACAATATACTGATCGCTGAAAACAAGCAGGAAATGACTGTATTTATTCAACATAATCGGGAGAACAATCACAATATACTGATCGCTGAAAACAAGCAGGAAATGACTGTATTTATTCAACATAATCGAGAGAACAATCACAATATACTGATCGCTGAAAACAAGCAGGAAATGACTGTATTTATTCAACATAATCGGGAGGACAATCACAATATACTCGGGGACGAACAGAAAATGATTGTGTTTATCAATTAAATTAATTATCATGATTGTCATGTCGCTATCTTGCCATGGGATACGTTGTACCTAAGCGAGGAAATGATTGTATTTATTAATTAAATTGATTATACTAATTATTATCATCATCGTCATGTCGCTATCTTGCCATGGGATAAGCTGTACCGAGGTGAGGGAGCGATTATGGAATTCGCCTCACTCTTTCTCACTACAAGCAAACCTTTTCGCAATTCAAACATCTGGTCGTACCTTATAACAATTACAGTTCCTTTTCCATTTATTTACTAGAGGTTTTACGGCGCTCGCAGCTCCATAAGGTCTTATGGACGCCAAGGGGTGGATGTCAACAACGAAGTCTTTACAGGGAATCGGGCTTACTCTGCTCACCGCTCTAGCTTCAACAGCACAAAGTATGTTTCGACTTTCAAGGCACACCGGAAATAGCGGGCCACAAGAGGGTGACAAACATGCAAACGAAGTAGAGGAAAATGACGATAGTAAGGATTAGGAAAGAAGAAGCAGCAGTTCTCTGTTGTAGTTCAGGCACAGTTATGAGCATGACATTGATGAATCAGCCCATTTTGCAATTCTACTGTGCATAAGAACCTTTTTCCTAGTTGTATTCGAAATCCTAATCACGTAATGTTCCCCCCCCCTCAACCTCCGTCCCCCATCCATTCTGAACCTCTTGAGCAAGTGCACAATATCCAGGATTTCCGTAGTGGGTCACAGTGAGTTTGCAACTAAAGTCAAACCTGCTCGAATGTATGTCTTACAATATCATGAGACAGCGGGCTGTGGTCGCCGTGATGCACGAAGACATTTTTTTGGGGGGGGGGGAGGGGGGAGGGTATATTATTTTACTTTAACAAATTCCCACATGTCAAGACTGCTGGCTACTTTTTTTTCAGAATTCAACGTTTATTACGATATTTATCTTATGTTTCTTACAAAAGACTGAAGATGTTTCGTCCCCCTCCCCCCATTGATACAATTTAGCTTAATAAGGAGGCCGACTACTTTGTCTTGGAACAACCCTGGTTAGGGAGAACACAGACATCACTCAGAAAGACAGAACTAGATAATATGCTAGAGGAAACTGACTTTCCCAGTCGGAGTTCGAACTCACTGTTCTGAGAGCAAACGCAAAGAGATGGGCTCTCGTGGCGTAGAGGTTAAGGTGTTGACTTCTCATTCAAAGGTCTCTGATTCGAATCCGGGTAGCGAACGACATATTTTCTTCTAAAAAAATTGTCTCCTTTCACCTCCTTTCCTGCTCTCTAGCAATGTTCTGTCGTCTGCTTTCGTCTCCA